TTTACAAACCAAAGCTATCCACTCATTTAAGTTCTCACTCTAACTGAATTGATATTCACAGACGTGCAAAGCAAGACATCCATAAACTTCCTTTGCTCAGCCCTTATGTAAAAAGAGTTTACAGGACACTGAATTAGCAAACGATGAGCACACAGTGAATAACCATTTCTGTAAACTGTGGTTTATATGTCTTGCCCAAAACTAGGTAGGAATTCTGTGGCAGGGTCAGGGAAGACATCCACACTATTAGGATGGTTCTCCCTTAATCATACATATCTACCTATAATTCACCTCTCCGCTCATGTTTCCCTTTTTAATTTCTAAAATGAGTGGTGCAGAAGACGGTTAATAACCTGCTCTACAAATCTGAGCATGCTCCATGAAAAGTGATTGGGTGGTGCTCATATCATCTACCTTAAGCTATTTAAAAATGTAGATGTGCAAAGATCATTTTCTGACCTTCCTCTGTAATCAGTGGCATAAAATAGGCACCTCCAAAAGGGTGACTAATCCCATACTGACAGCCTGTCTAAGACTAAATGAATTGCCCTCCAGAAGTGTTTAGATGTATCCATTAACTACAAAGAGTACCTAGATGACAAGATACCTAAATTTTCAGTAGGCTTAAGTAGAGTAAGATGGAGCTTGACATTTGTGTTTCACTGTGTACTTGAATCTCAGGAGCAGTGCGAGTGTCAGCAAAAGTACTGTGACCATCCACAACTGCAGTTCCAAAAATAACTTAGATCTTTGTCAGACACCTGTAGGGACTTCCATGGGTAAACAAACACTATTAGTTATCTACCTAATCCTTAAAGTACCAGGAGTCTGGGAAAGTGCAGTAAAGTCAATACCAATCCTAGACGGTCGTTAGAAAACTGAATTTGTGCAGGGCTTTTCAGTAAAGCAGGATGTTAACAACAAAGTGGCCTCAAGAGATACAGGCAATAATCAAGTTAAAAAAAATATACCCAGTGCCTTAGCAATCAGTCCAGAGGAAGTCTGTCAACAGCTAATGTCCAAGCAAAACTGCAGTTCAGAACATCAGTTTACCAACCAAAACACCAGCAGCTGAACAAGATCAGCACAAGATCCCGCATTTATAAATATCACTAAACCCCTCTTTGATCAGTGAGCAAAATCTGGTAACTTCCTGTGGCAGATGAGGTATACTTTAGGTCATCAAAACAGCGTCCTAACTGTTGCTCTGAAAAATGCTGTAGCTTTAAAGTGCTTTCACAGTGGAAAATACCCTCTGTAAAGAATTCCTTTGAATTGAAGGAGGTTGGGGAAAGCAAAGTAAGATGTTCTACATGGATGATGGAATCTATTAGCACAAAGCAAATTGCATGTTCAAGACCCAAGGGCAGACTCTCTTAAAAATTAGTAGTCTTCACTCAACTGCATTATTCCAGTGAGGTCATACACCCTTACAAGCTAAAGGAAGGTAAGCACATTTATACCTGACCAAAAAAAAAAGTGTCTATTAGAATATTAAATTTTCATTAACCTGATTTTGTCCTTGAACATGAGAATATTATGCTTTTGCATATTTATTTTAAGCTTCAATATTTTTGTGTTATTAAAAGGAGGAAAAAAATAAAATCTTCTGCTTTTTAATAGAGATGATTCTATTTACCATTATGATGGAAAATTTGTAACTCAGAACTCCTTACATTAATGAAAAACAGCAAATAGGGGTGAAGAATAAAGAAAGCAACTTAATCAGACTCATTATTTTGACCCTCGATATAAAGAAATTATGTATTATATCCACAGCAAACACTGTCTCTATAAAAACGTTTTTCTCCTATGATTATTCTGCAACTTACTAATTAATGTGGAAAAAAGTCATAAAAAATTAACCACAACCCAGAAAAACAGAGGTTTACATCACCTCCAAGATCACAACATGGCCTGGCTTCTTCTGATGCTGGTGCTCAAAAATGCATGTCTAGGAACCATCTACACTACAATTTAAATGTCTCAAACTGACATAGGAAAAAATGCACTCAGCCATACAGGAGTGGGAATGAAACAAGAAAGTTGGTGAAAGAGAAACACATCTTCAAATAAAGGGTATAAACAAAGTGCATGAGAGATGTACCAAACATGCACTAAAATTTTTTCTTTCGAGTTTGATGTCTTTTGCTCATTAACACATTATATGACATATTATAATCATATTATTACATACAATTACATGACAATTTATTATCATTACCATCAAGAACCTTCCTTTCTGTTTGGTTTTTTTTTTTTTTTTTAGTTTCTGCAGGTAATTTTCTTTTCTTTTGTTCACTTCACAAAACCACCTCAAAATACATTAAGATGCTCATGGCATTTCTTCGTTTCTTTCTTTCTCTTTCTGGGACATTAAAACCCTCCTTACAAGACGTTTTTAACATTATGGAAAATTCTAAACCATTGAAAAATTCCTCAGAAAAATCACATAAAATCAAACCTAAACAATCCACAGTGTATTCTCACTTTCCTGCATGGCATCTATGTTTAGTGGACTGCGGAAGAACTAGAATAAAAGAACTCACAGATCTAATTTTTACTTCTCACACTAACTGGCTTTCACAGTCTGCACTTATACACATTTTACACTGTCTAGTCATGTCCTACTTATTTTCCTGAGGCATGTAAATATTAACACCCAAATTACTGCTAAGGAAAACTATGTAAGCTTATCAGGTGTTTGAGGTCACAAATAATTGGTATCGTTATCACTATTGCAACACCTGCACCGTAAGTGTATTTCTGGCTACGTTAAACCAGGAAAAGGCAATGTGGTTAATCCCGGAGCCTATTTGAATCGAGTTCCAGAAACGTGCTCAAAAAAGTATTCTTTTGGACAAGGCTTCCTGAAACTCTCTTATCTGTTTTGTCCTGTGTGATACCTGAGGAATTGCTAGCACGGAAACACTGTACAGAAGAAGACAGAAAGTCATCATCTCAAGAGTACCATAACATGTAAGAGAAACAACAGAAGTGACAGTAATAGCCCAGTTACCTATGCACACAACTGGGTCCCAGCATGTCCAACATTCAGTCCCAGGCTTTACCTAATGCGTGGTCTTAACATTTTTATATTGCATCATCCTTTCTGCCACTATTAATAAGGATTTACCATCATACTAAATATAGAAGCTGGATGGTCTAATTAAGGCTTGTATAGCATATGAGATGTTAATGTTTCCAAATAATAGTGTTTCAGACCAGAGTTTTAAATTGTTATTATTACTCATATAAAACAAACAAAAACCTTTTTTTCTGAGCATAGGTAAATCAGGAGGTACTACTCTGTGATTATCACTGACTTTCATTAAAGTTAATATAATTTTAAAAAATCCCAACTCTGAGAATTTGCTTCTGTCTACTGAATTAATTACATATTTAGCAATGTGTCTTTCTTCATGCACATAGTTTTTCAACAGTAAAACAGGAAATGACCACTGACCAGTAAGATTTTTCCTATTTTTAATCCTCCACTAAAAAAAAAATGGGATTTTTGTCTGAAATGTATCTCTCAGCCTGACTCTACACTATATTAGTGTTTCAGATTAGCTTCAACTTAACTGAAGTCATGCTCTTAGATGGTGTAGTATTACACTTCTATTACTCGTTTTATTTACTCCTTCAGGATGAAATTGCTGCCTGCCCTCCTGGAATAGTAGATAATTAACTCTTTAGAAATAAGGTTAGTGTTTTGCTAGACGAAAAGCTCTTCCTGAAAGTGAAGGGAACAAATATGTACAAAGATTATTAGAAAATGTGTGCAACCATTTTGACCCCTGAGACAAAGCTTCCAAGGAAGACCAGAAAATAAATTATAACGTATGAAATCTGGCTCAAAAAAGAACAACTTCTAGAACTATTTGATAGCTCCCTAATACATCTCATACTCAGGAAAAAGTTAAAAAAATAGGTAAAAGAGAATGCATTCTACCATTACAAACAAGCACCATCTTTTCAATCTAAAAATTTAACACAGGTAGCACCACCAATTCCAAAACTTTTATCTACCCTCTCCAACATACATACCAAAAACCTTGTAGTCTTGTATCAAAAAGCACCTTTATAGCTTCATATAGACTTTTATCCACGTGTGCTCATCCAAGAGAAGTATTAGACATCTCACATGATCCCATGAGACTTATAGTGTGGGTCATACACAGTTCATTCAGACAAGCAGCTGATCTCCAAGAGCTTAACCAGTCCAAACCTCAATGCTGAGCATTTTCAGTTTTACTTCATCAAGGTTTAAAATGCACAGCGGCGTACTCAACCGTAGGTAGAGCAGAAGAGATGTTCAGAGCAATACACAAATCACCAGGCTAACTAGATGCAACGAGAAACTTCTGGAGGGAGGGATGGAGCGAGGGAGGGAGGGAGAAAGGGAGGGATCATGGAAATGCTAAGTCAGTATCAGATAGGTGAAGTCTCTAATCTAATTCACTATCCTGCACTGTAATATATAAACTGAGAGAATAACTGGATGTGTCTCTCACTGGGGAGGGGCCTCCGACTGTCAGGACAGGAAGAACTCCCTCTTCTATCCATAACATTGGATGGAAATATATGGTCTTTCTTTCTACCTCTGAACCAGAGATGAGCTGATTAAAGAAAAGCAGAATTAAAGAGCAGGCAAGGTAAGTCTTTCCCTCCTACAGAGAAATACTAACTTCTGTGGCAGTGAGTAAAAGTGGAAAACGGTGAAAATAGTAAACAATAAAAGGTAGAAAAAAAATACAGGAAGGAAAAGCAAAACCAGTAAACACATTTAAATATTAACAGATTTGTAACACAATTGTTTAATCAGGAAACACTACTCCAGGTTCAGAATTGTTGCATGCCAACAGAGCATACAAACTTTTGTAGTAAACGTAGGACCAGCATGAAGTACACTGGCAAAATGTATTTCTCAAGGTGTTGAACATAACAGGACAGCCCTACAGCATCAAGATTGATCATGTGTACCCTCTCCTTTTCAGGATCCCAGCTACAACACAAATGAAACAATAGACATTCAACAATTTTGTCTGAGGCTTATGTGCAAAACGCAAGGAAGTGGTTGCGATGAAAGAAATGGCAATGAGGTCAGTTTTTGCACTATGGCATAGATCCTCGAAGTATTTAAATAAACCTAAAGACCCATTTTCAAAGGTGATCAAATCTAGCACCAAGAGCAGAGAAGTCTTAATCCTACTGAAAATCAGTGCAATATAAATTCCTGTTCTTCTTAGGAACCAGGAAATCGAATACAATGTGAAACCTTGGTTTCTAAACACTGCAAGTATCTTTGTTCTGTATTTCTCATAATTGGATAGGGAGCTGTTTTGTCTCTGTGCAGAGAAATGTGCCAGATCAATTCTAGACCTTATGAGCAAAGAACTCAGTGTCTTTTCTCTTCCTCCACCTTCTGCTAAGCATTTCCTGCCCTCACTGCACTTCTGAAGTGTGATGTGAGCTGAGCATTCCTCTCACTCTCAAAGTAAGCATCTTTAAGAGATCTGCATAAAAATAAATCTCCTTGAGTTTATTCATGCTGCAGAGCCTCAGTCCTGCAGGAAACTTTCATTTTTCCTTTGTTGCCTTAGAGGGTACAACCTTTCCCTGCTGTGCACATTTGAGTTTGTAAGTGGGTGGGGTGTCTTGGAAGTATTGTTCTCCTGGGAACATAGTGACAAGCACATACACATTCTGGGGACTGTGATTACTTCTGGTCCTCGCAGAAGGACAAAGAATACTGTAAAAAATACTTATAGTTCTTGAAAAATATATCAAAATATCACTATTGTTTTTCTTGCCAAGAAACATACGCTGGAGTCACAATCCTAGAGGTCACTCCCCTGAAATCAAACAAGGGCTGAAGTGATCTACTGGCTACATGGGCTTTGTGCCGTCTCTCTATTAGTGACATTTCAGAAGCCCAAGAGAGTAATACTGACTGAAGATCTTTCAAATGCTAACAGTAGTTCAGCACAGGCCTTGTCTTTCTGAGGTTTAATCTCAGTTTCTTTCTCTAAAGACTGGTGGCATAATGGACAACGTCCCTTGCCTCTTGCTCAGACAAAGACTCAGTTAGTGTAACCTCTTTGTTTAAACTCTAAGGTCTTAGGGGCAGAGACTGACAATTTACAAGCTGGATGTGAAGAGCCTACTATTAAACAGGGACCTGATCTGGAACCTATGGGCAATGCTGCAAGACAAGCACTAATTACAGTGGTGTCATCTTGTTATCTGAGCAAATGACTGTAACGCCTTCATTTTCCTTCTGGCTCTCCTTCCACCCACCTTTGTTACCTCCACTTAGCTTTATGTCCTCATGTAAACAGAGATTTTATTCCTCATTTGCTTATCTTACAACTTTCAGGAGTTATATTTGCATGTAGCAAATGGTCATTAAGAACTTCCAGAGAAAAAGAAAAAAGCCGAGTTTCCCAGAAATGTGAGTGAGTGCTAGGCCTATTTAACAAAGCAGCAGCAGCATAAAGACATACATTTGTCTATGTCCCTTTTTGGTCCCTCTTTATAGGTAGCTAGACAAAGTAGTGAGCCACAAGTTTTGACTCTCCAACTACTGGTCTAAACACAGTGAAGGATTTTAAGCTCCCTTCTCAAGGTTTCAAATGAGTTCACCAAGATACAATTAAAATAAGAAACAATTATTAAATAGCTCTTCAGTCATACTGCAAAACCATTTTACTAACTGCATAAATAAAATTTCATTCTCAAAAGTCAGTATCAAAGCTAACATTAAACATGCAGAAATTTAAATATCTGAATAGATAACGACACATCTTAAGAAGTATGTAGTTTGCTTTGTTCTTGGCCCTCTCCCCCTACACTCCTCTGGTCACACAGGTCCCTTCTTATTGCCACAAAGCCTCTCAGCCATTAGAGGTATTTATTTATTTCTGGGGATGTGAGGATAAAATGAATAGAAGGTCCTAGATGAACCAGTAAAGGTTCTTTTGGTATTTTAATTTTTATTGCCTATTTGAAGCTTTGGATTATGACTTTCCTTTCCTGAGGAATAAAATGTCACATCAGCAAACATAATGAGATTGATGCAATTAGTGTGAAGATATTGTAAATACCCAAAAGAGAAACAATTTCACCGTTGAACACAGTGGAACTGTGCTTTGTGATTTAATCCTTATTCACGTAAGTGATTAAGAAACAAAACTTCCACTTTAAGACTAATAAATTTCCAGCTCTAAGGAAAAGCAATTTCATAGAAAAGTTCAAGTCCACCTTTCTAGATCCTCTACAAAAAAAAATGGCCACATGAGAATAATATCAAAGTTTTACTGTTTTCAGGCACATTGCCAAAATATGCTGTTTAATCAGTAAACTACAATATTAATAATTCTAAAATAGTATCCAATTTTTAAACATTGACTATTACAATCTTTCTAATTTATATTCAAGATAATACACTAACTTAATATTTTTACACAATCCCAGCAAATACAAGTCCCCCCCCACCAAATAATTTTCAGTATATCAAATGTGAGAACTGAAAGCCAAACATGGAAATGGGACGTTTTTACAAGACTATTTAGAGTTCAATTACATTCCCCATAGAAAAGTTCATCCTTTGCATTCCTTTAAATGCAAACTAAATCTTGTGAAGAGCACTAGGCAAAATGGGGATGAGATTACAAGTGATTTTAGAGTTTCTCATTGAGGCAATGTAGCAGCTTGTATTCCAATCTGCTACAAGGCAAAATTCCAGTGACCTGTTTCTGTTCAGCTTTAGCTAGATGGGTTCAGCCACTGTACATTCCATAAGGGTCTAAGCAAATTCACTCCTTAAAAATCTAGTACCACCCTAGCACCTAGCATGATTACATAACCTTCCTTCTCCTTTTTGCAGCCCGCGTGCGGGGCATGTGGAAGCATGTACGGCGCAAGGGGCAAAGTCCCCATAAAGAAACTTCGCAGTGGCAGACCAAAGGACCACAGCAGTCTCTCTGAAGAATTTTCTCAGCAAAAGAAAAAATAAAAAAAAAAAAAATATATATATATATACAATACAAGTCTATCCTGGACTAAAGGCTAAACAAAACAAAACAAAAAACCAACCAAACAAACAAACAAAATCATCCCCCCCGCCTCCCCACGCTGAGAGCTCGATGCTCTCCTACCTCCCAGGCTGGCAGCCAGCGGACAAGATAAGGCACGGTTTTGATCCGAAGGGATTGCAGGCTGCCGGTCAACCTCCCAGGGCAGCGGGGCCACGGCCCGGAGCGCGGCCCTGCCGTGAGAAACCCTGGAGCTCTGTCCCGGGGCGGGGGAAGAGCTCCGGGCTGCCGCGGGCCGCGGCCGTGGGGCTGCAGCCGGTTCTCCCGGCCCGGGCCAGCCGCACCTCCCAGCGCGGGGCACCGCCGCTGCTCGCCTCGGAGCGGCCGGGGAGGTCCCACGTCCGGAAGAGCGACCTCCCGCTCACGGAAAATACTGCCCACGAGTGAAGAGAGCGGGAGCGAAGAGGGGCACGGCAGGTCCGGGGGAAGGGGGCCGGGGAAAAGCCCCTTCCCTCGGCACACGCCGGCCCGCTCCCCTCCGCTCCCCCGGCCGCTCGCAGGTGAGCTCCGGAGTTCAGCGGCACGGTCCGGATAACACATCCTGCCCCCAGAACCAAACAAAAAATAATTCATCCCATAGCGCCCTACCTTTTCCTTCGCATACCCACGCACTTTACCTGTTTTTATGCCGGGTTTTTAATAAATTCCTTCCAAAAGGAGCCATGATCCCAGCGGCATAACATCAGCGATCCCCAAGGAATTCGAAGGTGTTCCCTTCTCCCCTATTTTTTTGCCTGAGCGCCTTCCAGCTTGTTAATAGTCACCGAGCGTAGCGATGAGCTGGAAGTTGTGCAATTTACTGCTAACTTTGAACTCCAGCTTGTTGCTGCTGCTGCACCTTTGGAGTCCTGCCCAACTGCGAACTTGAAGGAGGTGTTTAGAAGCAGGAAAAAGAAAGGGGAGGGTGGGGGAATACGCACTTGCTCCTGTGATGTGGAGTTATGCACAGAACTTGCTAAACTTTCAGCCTTGTCGCCCTCAGGGCAGCAGGCAGCAAATGGGAAAGAGGGGGCTTTGCTCCCGTGTGCAACTCCGTAAAGGCGCACACACACACGCACACACACACAGACACACACACGCACAAAAGCACTGAAAACTTTCCCCGGGAGGCTCCAGCCACTTCAGGTCAAGTCGCTCAGCTCAAACGCACGTTAATGAAGGGCAAGCTGCAGTTGCCATACCAGTTCCCAGTGCATAATAACCTGCCTTCTCGGTACCTCAGTACTTCTTCACAAGGTGTTGAACGAGTACGGCGAAGATGAAGGGAAAAAGACCGCTGTGGCCCCTCTGCTCTCCCTGGACTTTTAAGTAAACGAGCTATTTGCATGGAAGGCTTTACAGATTAAATGCACCTTCGAAAATGTGGCCTAGCAGAGAACAAGTGAGGCAGCAACACGAAAGACTGGATTCGTACTAAGCTGTTCCACGACCTTTTTTGTTATTATTTTAAACTGGCTTTGCCAGAAGGGAAGTGAGCACACACCATGGTTCCTGTTCACAGCAACCCTCTGGGAATGAGAGATTTGGAGCAGAGCTTCAGAAGGAAAAATCTTCTATTCCCCCTCCCACCCACCCCCTGATTTGGAGCAGAACAGGGCAAAGAGGAGCCATTGTGCCCAACACGCTGATGCCAGCGGGTGGAGGCCCCAGGGCAGGTGGGAAGTCCTGGGCACAGTCCTAGCACACCGTAGCCCTCTCCTTTCTGTAGTAATTTAACAGGTACATATTAGATGTAAGTAATTCCTTTTTCCTTTTTTTCCCTCTGACAGGGAAGATTCTTTGTGTGGCTGCCCAAAGGTAGAGCACAATAGGGAATTGTTTTATCAACCAGAGGCAATGATTAAATAGGAGCCTACCAGAGTAAGGGCTTATCTGAAAAAAGTATTTTTCTAAATTTCCCCCTTCCTCCCTTGCTCAAGAATTCAATTTTGCTGAAGAAAACAAAGCAAAGGCCCGTTTCATGGTTTACCTATTACTGGCAGCTCTAGGAATACCCCACA